CAACAACTTCTGAAATCAATGGTCAAGGAAAAGTGGTTCTGAAGATGACCTCGAGAAAGGAGCTAACTCTCAACAACGTGCTTTATGTGCCGAAAATTCGCAAGAATTTAGTGTCCGGTTTGCTTTTGAATAAGCATGGTTTCCGCATTGTTTTTGAGTCAGAGAAAGTCATTCTGTCAAAAAGTGGAATGTTTATCGGAAAAGATTATGTTTCCGACGGTATATTTAAACTCAATGTAATGGTTGTGAAACCAAAAATGAATAAAGCAAGTTCTTCTGCTTATTTGCTAGAGTCTTCCAATTTGTGGCATGGTAGACTAGGACACGTTAACTATGATACTTTACGAAGATTAGTTAACTCTAACTGTATACCTAAGTTCAATAACAATTCCAAACATAAGTGCGAAACTTGTATTGAAACAAAATTGACAAGGTCATCGGTTAAATCAATTGAACGGAACACAGAACCACTAGATTTAGTTCACAGTGACGTGTGTGATCTAAAAGTTGTACAAACAAGAGGTGACAACAAGTATTTTATTACTTTTGTCGACGATAGCACAAAATACAGCTATGTATATCTGCTTAAAAGCAAGGATGAAACTATAGAGAAATTTATTCTCTATAAGAATGAAGTTGAAAATCAACTTAATAAAAAAATTAAGGTGCTACAAAGTGATTGAGGTGGTAAGTATGAAGCATCATTTGCTGAATTCTATGCACAACACGAAATCATACATGAAACCACCGCCCCTTATTCACCGCAACAAAATGTTGTTGCTGAACGGAAAAATCGTATTTTAAAAGAGATGATGAATGCAATGCTCGTAAGTTCTGGGTTACCTTAAAACATGTGTGGGGAAGCTATGTTATCAGCAAATTATCTTTTAAATAAGGTGCCCCGAAAAAAATCGGAAAAGACCCCTTATGAGTTATGGAAATGAAGAATGTTTACCTATAAACACTTGCGAGTGTCAGGGTGTCTTGCTAAAATGGTTATTCCACCGCCAAAGAAGGTAAGGATAGACCCGAAAACTATAGACTGTGTCTTCATTGGCTATGCACATAATAGCAGTGCGTATCGCTTTCTTGTGTATGATTCAAAAATTCCAGACATACACAAAAACACGATAATGGAATCAAGGAATGCTACATTCTTTGAAAAAGTATTTCCATACAGATCCAAAGAGGAAGCAAGCTCATCTAAACGAACATATGAGACAATGACTGAAAATAGTCAGAACGAAGAATTAGAAGAAGAGACTGAGGTTAGACGCAGCAAACGGGAAAGGACAGAAAAATCTTATGGTCCTGATTTTCTGACCTATATACTAGAAAGTAAACCTCAAAGTTATCAAGAAGCAGTGAATTCCTCGGAAGGACTTCAATGGAAAGAAGACACTAAAAGTGAAATAGATTGCATACTGCAAAATCATATATGGAAGCTAGTGGATCTTCCTCCAGGAAGCAAACCACTAGGCTACAAATGGATTTTCAAAAGAAAAATGAAAACAGATAGAACTATCGAGAAGTATAAGACCAGATTAGTACTTAGAGGCTACAAACAAAGGGAAGACCTTGATTATTTTGATACGTATTCTCCAGTGACGAGAATAACATCTATTAGGATGATACTTGCGATTGCCGCTTTGCGAAATCTTGAAGTACGTCAAATGGATGTTAAAACTGCCTTTCTAAATGGAGATTTAGAAGAAGAAATTTACATGAAACAACTTGAGGGATTTTCGTCACCAGGACAGAAAAAGAAAGTCTGTAAACTGGTGAAATCACTATATGGCTTGAAACAAGCACCAAAACAATGGCATGAAAAATTTTACAATGTCATGATTGAGAGTGGATTTAAAATCAATGAATGTAACAAATGTGTTTACGTCAAAGACACTAAAGATGGATATGTCATCTTATGTCTTTACGTTGACGACATACTTATTGTTGGTAGTGACAATAATATGATTGAATCCATTAAAAATATATTAAACTCGAGATTTGACATAAAAGATATGGATTTAGCTGATGTTATACTTGAGTGAAAATCTCAAGAACATCAAATGGGCTTGTTCTAAGTCAGTCACATTATGTGGACAAAATTTTAGGAAAGTTCCATAAGGATAATACTAGCTTGGCTAGAACACCAATAGATACGAGTCAACATCTGTCTAAAACCAGAGGAGAAAGTATCTCTCAAGTAGAATACTGAAGAGTTATCGGAAGTCTAATGTACTTAATCAGTTGTACTAGACCAGACATAGCCGACACAATCAGTAAACTGAGTAGATACACGAGTAATCCAGAAACTGAACACTGGAAAGGAATTGTAAGAGTACTAAAGTACTTAGGATATACTCGTGACTATGGATTACATTATACTAGATATCCAGCAGTCATTAAAGGATACAGTGATGCTAATTGGATATCTAATATAAAAGATTCAAAATCCACCAGTGGATATGTGTTCACATTGGGTGGTGCTGCCATATCGTGGAAATCCTCTAAGCAAACGGTTATTGCCAAATCTACGATGGAATCTGAGTTTATAGCTCTAAATAAATGTGGTGAAAAGGCTGAATGGTTACGCAATTTCTTAGAGGATATTCCAAGATAGTCAAAACCTGTGCTAGCAATTTGCATATATTGTGACAGTCAATCGACAATAGGAAGGGCATATAGTAACATATATAATGTTAAGTCTAGACATATACGTCGTAGACACAATACCATAAGACAACTACTCTCAATTGGATTTATCACTATTGACTATATAAGGTCAAAAGATAACATTGCGGATCCGCTAACCAAAGGGTTAAATAGAGAGTTACTTATGAAATCATCAAAAGGAATGTGACTTAAGCCCTTGAAAGAATAAGTTATTACAAAGGAAAACCCAACCTAGTAGACTGGAGATCCCAAGATCTAGGTTCAATGGGAAAACCTAACTGTAAAGACTTGATAAAATCACTGTAGGGATATTACCTCCTGTCCATTCCTATGATGTAATAGTGATGCACGTAAGGTTGAAGGTTAAGCAATAGGCTTTTAATGATTCTTATGCGTCGTAAATCGAGCCAAGTAATGCGGGTTACTTGTAATAAGAAATCACCTATGTAAGAGAGAAGTGGGGCCGCTTCTAAGAGATAAGAGAATTGTGTGGGGCTCAATTCTTAAGAACTCTCACAGAATCAGACATATGTTCATGGCCAAAACGAACATAACAATAAGAACTGGATTGTGTTAGGAAGAATCCTGTGTGAGGTATATTATCGTTTACACAAACGACGGAAGAGTTCAAGGACATCGCGTCTACTGGTCAGCCAGTAAAGTAATTATGCTTGCACAAGGGAAGCTTCAAAGGGTAACACCTACCTATCCTATGCAGGATTCAACCGCTGAACTTTATCACCAAGTCTTGTGTCTCACATTTCGTCTCTCCCAATTTTCATTCATGTTGGGGATTGTTGAAAAAAATTGAGCGAGCGGCTCACTTTTGGCACAATTTTCGATGGGACCGTAGGTCCAATATGAAATATCAAAGTTAATATGTGTTCTCCTCCGCGAGAACATTGATTTCATGTATTTATTTGCCAAAAATGAAATTCGGGTGAATGAGAAATTGAAGCTCAAAATTGATCATTGGAAGTTGGTTTTGTGGGAAAAAATGTATTTATCCCACATAGGAAAACAAAGGTAACTTAAACCACTTTATATATGACTATACTTTGGAGATGTGTAATCATGTGTAGCATAAAGGCTCTCTGCGTGCGCAAGAGGGTGCAAATCACGAACCAAAATGGCCTTCGGACCTTGAACTTGGGTGCGGACACGACCTGCGCACACGAATGTCGGACCGAACAAGGCAAAAATGGCCCCATCAGAGAGCCCACGTTTTGCCAATTTTATTTTTTTTTTGGCTTTTTCCAATGACTTTTGAGTTTCTAAACTGCAAAAACTCCAATGGACTTCCAATGGTCACAGTGTTAATGAGAAGTAACTCCAATGGACTCTCAATGATCACAATATTAATGGGCAGTATGCCTATAAAAAGGCTCATTCTCCAACAATTTAACACACTCGAAAATCTCACTTACATTCTTGCATACACAGTTTCTTCTTTGCATTCCTTGTCCAGTAAGATCTTGATCTTGTGATGATGTTGTTCGGATACTAGATCAGTTCGCCAGAGTAATATCTACGGTGCTCAGATTCTACTATATACCGTTGTATCCTGGAAAACAAACGCTCGAATTAAAACTCAAGCACGTATAGTGAGAAGGCAAATATGTTTTAAGGACACTATATTTACACAAGCCTCGGATTAAAAGTTTATATAAAGTTATAAATATGTCGTTAATTTTTTTTAAAATTTTTGTTAATTTTCAACTTTCCCGTTTAGATCTATTAAATTAACGTGTCTTACATAACTTTATATGATTTAGTTCTAAATTAGATTAATATATTATGATTTATGATAATTTAGTTTATTGTGTAATTAACTAATATTATAAATCAGTATGAGAAAACCCGGTATTTAATCTTATTGTATGCGTAAAATCAAGTTTGTGCAAATTCGGTATATAATCTATGCATATACGATATCTAAACTGCATATACGGTATGCTGCATATACGGTATCTAAAATGCATATACGATACCCGTAAATTCGATATCATTCCACCAACATAATTTCCAACAGGTTATGCATCAGACAGTTCGTGCAATATTTATTGATTCAAGTTTTTACCTGGTGATCGAAGCATGTGGCCTTTCTCCACCGTAGATAAACTTGCTGCATTCGTGAACGCAGGCTCCTGGGTTCACTTTGCTCTGATAAGTGAGGTATTAAGTAGTCGTGCTTGATTCAATCCATTTTATATACTTATCTCAAACGATTTTTGATCAATAAAAAGATTATTTATTTAAAAAATAACTCATATGATCACATATAAAGTTTTGGAGCTTAGCCAAACATGCACCAAGTTCAAAAGTTCACCTTCATCCAACTTTCGTTCATCAGGCTCCTTGACGGAATTCAGTTAAGCAGCAATGTAGATCAATACAGTCACAGACAAGTCATCAAATTACACGCAGCAGCATGTTTCTAAGTCTCTAAATATCGTAAAGATGGACAAAATGAACTCCATAAGAAATACAGAAATTTAAAATAGACATCAACCACCCCTCGCAAGTTCAATTAAGTAAAACAAGTATTTTTGCCTATAATTGCTAGAGAGACTACAAAACATTTCTTCCATAGCTTAGAATTGCTCTCACCAACTCAAAAACCATAAGCTACAATGAATAGAGCTTCCTGAATGATAACATTGCCTTGAAATTACAAGTAAAATTATATACTACTTATCTGGCTTTTCGGGCTCCTCTGTTTCAGGATTTTCCTCCTCTTCCTCTTTCTTTTCTTCTTCTTCTTCCTCGTCTTCTTCGGGAGGATCAGCTGGCAATGGAGGTGGTAATGGAGTTTTCATTGGGCTGAATTGGGGGAATATGTCTGGTCTCCTTCCAGGCTTTGGCCTCTCCCACTCCTGCATGATTGTGTCAACAATCAGCAATGCATTTGAGCAAACAGCATAACCACAATTACAAAATAAAGATTTCATGTATGTGACTGGTTCTCCTCAGGATCTAAGTATCCACATCGGCATGTCCATGAAGATTGTACACTTTTTTTACCCATTGTGCTAGAAATACATCAAAATAACACCGGGAAACTCGACAAGGACCAACATTACTGGATGTCCAACAAATATTGTGCTCCCTTAAGGCCCCAAAAATAAACTTCTGATGGTCCAAAAGATAGTGATGACAAAAGGATTCAAACTTTAACTGATGCATCACAATAAAATTTAGAAGACGAGTGTAAAAAATAAGTAACATCACCACAGGATCAAATTAATATAGGAAACATGTTTATATGCATGAATGGATAGTCCAAACACTCCATGTGATTTTAATATTTACGATGTAAAAGTTGCTTATGAGGATGTTCAAGAAGTGTGATAACATTGTCATGAGAAAGAAACAATCATCACAGCAAATTAACTCCACAAGGTGTTGGCAGATTTAATGTCTCTATTATTGAATGTTATCTGGGTAGAATTTAATCATATTGCAGATGATCGAAAGAGCAACTTATGATCTTCAAGAATATACACAGACACATGCATATAGGTCCCATTTAAAGACATTCATAATTAACTTGAGTCACCTTAAAGAAAAATGTCGTTTAGCATATCCTAAAAAGTCTGATGTTCCACCTATAAGAATGTTAAAAGTTCTAGCAATTCCTTTTTTTTTGGGAAAGTGAAGTAATCAAGGTAAGAAGTGCCATTGTTCAGAATTTTCCCAAATGTCTTAGAAGTCTTACAAAAGTTTCTTATATCTAAATTAGATTAATGGCATAAATTTTTCTTAGGGTGTGTAGCATAGATGAATCCAGCAATCTCTAAACAGTTGAGTAAATCAAAACCATAACCAAAACTTGTAAATATAGAAACGTACAATATTCTGATGTGGGACCATCTTCAACAACAAGAAAAATGCATTGTTTAGATCATCAAAACTTTTAAATCAAACATTCCCCAGGGTCACTAAGGCCAATTTATGGGATCCATAGCTGATCTTCTATCACTAAATTGTGAAGCTCCTCATGACGAGCAACGCAGTTAAATTCCTAAGTCCCAAGTTTATGACACCATTGAAGGGGCAAGACCAATCCTCGAGTGTTGTGTTCAGGTCCTAGAGGGGTAAATTCTAGAATCAAATTAATTTTTCCGGTAACAAATATCCATACATTACCATGCAATAGGACTGCAGTCGGGGAATGGAGAACTATGTCTACAATTCCCTGCTAATCTAACTGCTTGTGCACCATAAAGTTGGTATCTAAATGGAGCATTCTCCTTGATAAGCTTAAACAGAAATGTAACAGGTTATCTATTTTCCCGAATGAGCTATCTTGCATTTCAAATTATATATTACCAACAATAAAATCTAAATTAAGTAAAAGATACTTAAGTAAGTTTCTTACATACAAGGGAAAAAAATTACTTACTGTGGAAGTATCTCTTCAATTTTAAGAAATTTAGCCCCTGTTCCGTTGGGATTAAAATCAAAAATAGATTTTGATAAAAGCTATGAAATTTTTTGTTAAAAAGTTGTGGTCGAAAGATGAATATGAGGAAAAATGTGTTTTAAGCAATGGGTGCAAACAGGGGCTTAAAAAATAAACGTGCTTACAAGTAAATGTTTAATCTAGTATGCTAACATGAACAAGAAGCACACAATCTTCTTTAAAGCCACTCAATCAACTTCAACTAGCTGTTATTTGATTAATCGAATGCAAAACTGAACTTTCGTCATGTTAAAGGTAAAACAAAATTAGAAAGCGGTCTGAGTATCGCTTCTAAGCATTACACAAATCCTACTCTTCTTATACGAATGAAATTATCTAAAAAAATTCCACCCTCTATCTGTTCTCCCGATTTTATCCGCAAAACACCATGAGATTTACGGAAAAGTGTAAATTAACAACTAAAATTAAAGAATGATTAAGAACGAACAAAATCCAGGCACTCACAATAGGAAAGTCAAGGGGAGAACGGCGAGTCATTCTCTCCTCTTCTGGAGCCATACACACAACCAAAGACCTACTTCCTCCACGAGTCAAATTCAGAGCGCGAGCTCTCCTGAAAGGCGGCAGGAGAGCGTGGGTGTTTAACGACGTCGTCCATGTAGAGGACGTGGTTGAAGTCGGATTCGGAGAGGAAACCAATAACGACGTCTTTCTTATTGGAGTAGAAGTTGTTAGAGAGAAGGACAGGGACAGCAAAGCCATTCAGAGAGGCGGCGCGTGAGATTGCGTGGGTGTTCAATTGGTAAAAACGCCCAAATATGAAATATCCACTTATGCTCCTTAGCTCACCCACCGCCTCAGAGGCTGAGACGAGATAGAAGCCGCAACTTTTGAGCCCAATATTGACGACGGAGTATTAACTGGGCCGCTACGGATCTATTAAATACAGATAACTAGGCTGGGCTTTAAGGCACTTGGTATCTTGACACAAATAGCACTAAATTTTATTAAAAATGAATTTAACCATGTTTTGTATACTTCAGTTTTACACCAGTTTTGATGGGTCTGGACCTATATATTCTTCACCATTAGAGTTTCTTATGTTAGTTTAGAAATAAATTTTGTATAATTTTCATCTGTTTATTAAATTCTAATATTTTTATTATGTAAGTAAATGCGAGAGATGAATTTATATGATTGACATAATGTACCTGTATTCGTAATTCACGATTTAGATAATTGAATTAAAAAGAAAATAAAAATATCAAACATAAAACTTGTAAATTTTATCATGACTTGTTGACAGAAATCGTGTTTTTCAAAATTTACAAGACAATTTTTAGAGTAGATTGTCTTGAAAATGTACTTAACCCTCGTTTGAAATAATTAAAAGTTTTAATAAAATATTAAATAAAAATCAATAATTAATTTTAACCACATATTTCATGAATCTACGATTTTTAATAACTTTTCAACTACACATTTCATCCTATTTTATCAAAATATATTTAAAAAAAATTGATTTTTAGCAAAAGCAAACGGAGACTTATGTTGAATTTCTCCATTCATAAAAATTTTCAATGAAATGACAACACTCTCAACTATATTGTTTATTAGTTTGTAGAGTTCTCGATCATATGAAAATGAAAACAAGACAAATCTTGTAAATCTCCTATGAAAAGTAGATGGGAAACATGTTGCCCACTAATAATGTGGCAATATTTTATGTTGTCAAATTATCAGTAATTTAGATCCCACCAATAATGTGGCAACGTCACATATTACTACATCAGCGATTGGCAACATATTTCCTGTCCTTCTATGAGCAAGAAATCAATTTTGATACCTCATTATCCATTATCTGGTATTGCGATCAACCTATTGCTTATGTATGACTTTTAGAAACACTAACGAAGAGTACGATTGATTCCATTAACTTTGGGTGATATACCGAGTCACATGGCACAACAAGCCTATATTCTGGACATTTTCATATAAATCCAACGGGACCATTGGTTAGGCTGTCATAATGCACCACTGTCATGTTTGGGGGTGGAAAATCCAAAATCTACATTATTATTGCTTTTTAATGACACAAAAATTGAGTTATATTGAACTCGAAACACGGTTAAACTCGACTGTTTTTGTGTCCAAATTTGGGGTGCATCCAAGTTAGTAATGGGTCCGTTTGTTCATTATTCAGTTGAATTGTAATGCATTTTAATATATTGAACAATAAAACAGATAGTTCATTATCACCAAATCAGTTTTTCATCTTTGTCACTGATAAGTAACATTAATCGTCCAAGTTTGTAAAGGCTTAAAATAAGTACATGTATTTAAGTGCATGTTTGGATTGGCTTAACTTATAAATACATAAAAATAAGTGATTGAGATTTCGTGTGCCCCAAGAGTGTGTGGATAATAAGTAGGTATTAGTTTAGCAGTTGCTAGTCTTACAAAATGTTTGTTAGGTTGTATGAAGAAATAATTGTTATAAAACAATGTTTCATATTAAATAGATTATGATTTTATTTACTTATTTCATTTATTTAGTTGTCGGACAAATTAGACTGTATATGATTATTTGTGATAATATAAGTTAGGTGCTTGTGTTGAGAAAATCTTGGTCAAATATCTTGGTAAATTGGGGAGACTTGACAATAAGTGGAGTAGAGAATACGAATTTGTGTCTAGATTTGCCGTCCAAAAAATAAAAAAAATCAATAGAGTAACTATTTAAGTGTATTTTGTAAAACGATTAAAATATGAGCTCATTTTGTAGTGATGACTAAACTTCAATATTTGAAATTGATTAAAGGGTAGAATCGACAGTGGCATCACTGGCATCCACACATAATTATCGAATTTTGAACATGGATAAAATATATGTACGAAAGACGATAAGAAAATATTATAGCTATATTAATCAAGATAAGGATTCAAACATTTCACTTTAACTTTAAATGTACCGGTGACCTCATTATGCACCTCAACCACGCCATATGGATATAGTTTTGCTACCGTGAATGGCCTATATATTAGCTTTTAGGATCTTATATATTTTGATAGTACAATCTTTTACCTTAAGTGAAAAAAGAGAGGCTATTGATTAAATATTGTTGTTTACGGTCAATTAGATATGGTCTAATTATAAAATTTTGATAATATATGTCCGACCATATTCATGTGATAGCTCTATAAAGTATTGTGATTTAATTCTAATCATTATAAGAGTTTTGGATTTATTATAATTGATATAAAGATTGTAAATTTAATTTTATCTATAATTGAAGTGTATTCCGCTTTAATTAAATAAGAACTAATTGGATATATATTTTAATTGAAACTCCTATTTCATATTTCAATTGTGGTCCCTATTTCGAGTTAATATGGAATTCTTATTTTACTTGACTTGAAACTTCTTTATCCCCACTATATAAAAAAGGGGAATGTGAGGGTACTGTAGAAAGCAACAGTGTCTTGATCCATCTTTACTGTAATATTTTTTTTTGTTCCTACTATATAAAAAAGGGGAATGTGAGGGCGCTGTAGAAAGTAACAGTGTCTTGATCTATCTTTACTGTAGCATTTTTTTTTGTTTTTTTTTTCAATTTGGGAGCAAAAAACGACGTCGTTTGCTTGATATATATTTTATTTTATTGTACACTACCTCCAAATTTATTGCAACACGCAATTTTCATTCCTCCCCACTCCGATATAGATATATATAGTGGGGATATAAGAAAAATATCACTTTTATACTAAAAAAAAAAAAGATAGAGATAATATGCGACAGAAATTTTTTTTACAACATATTAAAAAATTTTGAAGAGAAAAGAATTAAAGAGAATTATAAATTAAAAAAAAATTGTAACTAAAACAGCAAAAGAAAAAAAAAAAGGTAATCTCTCCATGCACGGAGACATTAGTCTCCATGCACGGAAACACTCTCCGTGCACGGAAAAAAAATAAAAAATTATTGGAGCCTCTGTGCATGAAGGCCAAATGCCTCTGTACACGGAGGCAGGTGTTTCCATGCACGGAGACAAAATTTAGAGATTTTTTTATTTTTTATTTTTAATATTTTTGGGTTCTATCTCTGTGCATGGAGACAAAATTTAGAGATTTTTTTTTATTTTTTAATATTTTTGTGTTCATTTTTAAACTCATTACGGGATATCAAACGAAATCGAAATATTACATTCTTAACATCGTTTTGAAGTACTCACGACATAATATTACACGTCATTAACGGTGCGTGAAATGGTCAATGATGGCAAATGTTATATGACATCAAAATAAGCATTTTCAAACTATATTTCGAAGTTTTCGATAACAAGCTAATTTTAAAAATTTATCGGCGATTGTACGATAGTCGAATCGATAAATGTTTTACATTCTTTCGAAACTCATTTTGAGAACTATATTGTAGAGATATCGAATTATCTAAATAGATATCAAAAATAGTTAAACGGATATCAAACGTATGTGTTAAAAAATACGCACAAGTCGTTTTTCTTTAAAAAATCAATTATTTTATTACCATTTCGAAATTTTCGATAACAAGTTAACTTTAAAAATTCGTCGACGATTGTACGATAGTCGAATCGATAAATATTT